TTTTTTATGAGAGCAACAGCAATGTTTTATTTTTGTACTTTGAAACTTCTGGATAAATAGCTAGAGACATACAAGGAAGACTGATGTACATCAGTTATGATCCTTGTCACCCAACTTTCTCATTATTATTATCATCTTCTCAGGAAAATATATTTTATTCATTCAAGAAGTAGCTCACTATGTAGCCCAGGTTGGTCTGGAACTCACTGTGTAGCCCAAGCTGGGTTGAACTTGTAATACAATTTAGCATACTGTTTGTTTATTTTCATTTCAAGAATGCTAAGTCCTAACTCGCAGAACACCAGGTCCAGGAGGATCCACCGGTTATGCTGACCCAGCTCCTGCCTCTATGCCACCTTAAGCTTTGGTGGTCCATCATTTGCATGATGGTAGGATTTAATATCCTTTCATTATCACAGCAAAGGAAGACTTTTGGACACCCCCCCACTTCATACACCCTTTTCTGACCAGACTATGAGATATGACATCATAGATGAAGTGTAAACTCTTTATACCTTGTAGTCCTGCCACAGAGCAGAAATAGTGTATAGCATCACCTCTGTGAGAATACTGTCCCTGTTGAGAATTCAGGCAACATTTCTGTAGGAGCAAATATGAAGCCACACTCTTCCCTTACTTGACATGTGATGCTGGAATCCTTGATTTGCATTTGCCAGGCTGCTGAAGTATGCATCATTTATGCAGACAAACAGTGTTCTCTGTACAGAACTGATCATTGGAACAACTTAGGATTTAGGAATCAGAGTTTAACAATGTACATCCTGGTACAGCTTTCTCCTCCTTCCCAGAGAAGAGAGGATGGTTCATTAACCCAGAGAGCACATATGCCCCAGACACAATCCGCATATGTTTCAGATATAGTATGCACTCGCTCTTATGGTGTATACCAAGCTTTGGGGCCCCTTCTGTGTTGCAGGAAGATCTCCAAAGTATTTCCTTTTCTTTACTGTCATTTTAGAGCTACTAGTGTGATATGAGGAAAGGAGTTATCCACTGAGCCCTACAAAGAGGATAATGCAGATGAAAAAGAATCAGGAATCACAAGCCAGCCACAGGACCCTTGTCTTAGTCACTGTTCTGTTGCTGTTATGACTAAGGTAACTTACAGAAGAAAGCATTAAATTGGGGCTTTGCTTACAGTTTCAGAAGGTTCGTCCATTATCATCATGGTGAGGAGCATGGCAGCAGGCCAGAAGGCGTGGCACTGGAGCAGTAACTGAGAATTTGCATCCTGATCACAGTCGGTAGGCAGAGGGCAAGAGACTGGGCCTGATAAGGGCTTTTGAAACATCAAACCTTACCCCCAGTGACATGCCTCCTCCAACAAGTGCACACATCCTAACCTTTCCTAAACAATCTACCAGCTAGGAAGGAAACATTGAACTATATGAGCTTATGGGGACCATTTTCATTCAAACAACCATATTCCTGCATGAGATTTCCTCTGTGCCATCAGTGGCTGGAAAGACAGAATTGTGGTTGGTTGAATACTCATAAGTGAATAGACTAGCATCTGTTCCAAGATGTTAGTCATTAATAAAAGAAACTAGTGTATGACATTTTGAGTGGACAGGAGGCCATTCAGGTTACTTGTCTGAAATCATGTGCTTTCAGAAAACAGTAGTTTCCTTTTGTCCCTATTCATGGATAAACCTAGGTACACTGAAACTTCAAAGAGCTTGAGGACACAGGAATTTGTGAGTTGCCATCTGTCATAGTTACTCTTCTACTGATGGGCAAGGCAGGTTTTATCAAAGAAAGAATTTAGTTGGCTTGCTTCCAGTTTCTGAGGTTAGTCTGTTATCATCATGGCAGGGAGCATGGTGGTACACAGGCAGACATGGTGCTGGAAAAGTAGCTGAGAGTTCTACATCCTGATCTGTAGGCAGAGAGTGGCAATGGGCCTGGCAGGAGCATTTGAAACTTCAAAGTCCACCCCAACTGACATATTTCCTTCAATGAGGCCACATCTACTCCAACAAGGTCACACCTGCTAACCCTTCTCTAATAGTGTTACTTCCTGGTGACTAAGCATTTGAATATATGAGCCTATGGGGGGCATTCATATTCAAACCACCACACCACATCCAAAACCCAAGATTTGAGCTCTGCATTTGCCAGGCACATATCTCTGGGATGCCCTACACTGTAACTAAGAGAGCATTAGAAGAAGAAAGCCTCACTTTTATCCTACGTTGATGCTCCCTCATTTTTCTGCAAAGATGGTGTGGAAAATGTTCTTTTCTGCATAATGTGACATCCTTCTCTCCGCATTGTGCCTTAATGGGGGTGGGGGTGTAGGATAAATATACCCTGGCCATTGAGGTTTCCCTTCAAATTCTACAGTTGCTTCCAAGATACAGTCTGAACCATTATACCAGGATATCAGAAATTGCACATTGTGAAACAGATCAATTTCCCAGACATGCAAAAATAGGTTGTGTAGCTGGAGTTTTCTACAGGCCTGCCTGGTCCACAGTCAGGACAAATCTTTGTCACCTGCCAGTCCCACAGCCACTCAGACCCAACCAAGTAAACACAGAGACTTATATTGCTTACAAACTGTATGGCCGTGGCAGGCTTCTTGCTAACTGTTTTTATAGCTTAAATTAATCCATTTCCATAAATCTATACCTTGCCATGTGGCTCATGGCTTACTGGCATCTTCACATGCTGTTTGTCATGGTGGTGGCTGGCAGTGACTCCCTTTCCCTTCCTGTTTCCTTAATTCTCCTGTTGTCTTGCCTACACTTCCTGCCTAGCCACTGGCCAATCAGTGTTTTATTTATTGACCAATCAAAGTAATTGACATACAGACCATCCCACAGCAAGGTTGTCTTAGTTAGGGTTTCTTTATTGCTGTGAAGAGACACCTTGACCATGGCAACTCTTACAGAGAAAATGTTTGAGGGGGCTCACTTACAGTTCAGAGGTTCAGTCCATCATGACCGGGAGCATGGCAGCATGCAGGCAGACTTGGTGCTGTAGCTGAGAGTCCTATATCTTGACTCAGAGGCAACAGGAAGTTCACTGCTTGTCACACTGAATGAAACTTTAGAAAAAGTCCTCAAAGCCAGCCTCTATAGTGACCCACTTCCAACAGAAGGTGTGGCCCAGATTAAAGTTGTGCCCTCCAGCCTCAAGGTCTGGGTTAAAGGCTTGTGTCATGCAGGTTCCTCCAACAAGACCACACTTCCTCTAACAAGGCCACACCTCCTAATAGTGCCACTCCATATGAGCTTATGGGGGCCAAATACATTCAAACTACCACACACACAGGTGTTCTCCTCAGGTACTTACTGGAATATGGACCAATGAAAACATTGGAGGAATTATTAAAACACGAAATTGTAAGAACTTTGGTTTCTCATGCTGCGTGAAGAAACAGGCCAACTGGGGAAAGGAAGTCTCTTGAGTCATTCCTTCTGAGCGGGCACAGATATCCACAGGGAAATGTCCTTTGATAAGCAGCTATACAATGAGATGGTGGGGCATGCAGGTAGGGAGTTGTACTCACAGTCCCTATCACACAATAAATACACTCAAATAAGTCAATTATATGCCCAGCCCCTGGGGAGCTGAAGAGATAGATGATGGTTCAGCTGGTAAGAGGACTTCTTGCTCCTCCAGAGGACCTGAGTTCAGATCCCATCACTGATGACAGGAAGCTCAGAACTGTCTGTAACTCCAGTTTTGGGGGATCCAACACCTCTGGGCACTGACATTCACATACACAGCCCTCCCCCCATAATTAAAAGTAAAATCTAAAGACAAAAACAACCAAGGAAAATTTGGTACTTATTGTAGGTAAAAGTTTCTCTCCCACCTACCTGTTCCCAAATACCTGGCAGCTCCTTCCCAAATAATTGACTCAGAGGCTTAATATTACTTATAAATGCTCAGCCAGTAGCTCAGGCTTATTGTTAACTAGATCTTGCACTTAACCCATAATTCAGTGTTTTATTAAACCAATCCAAGTGATAAATCTTTACAGTGTACAAGAGCATTATCCCAAAGCAACTTGTCCTATTAAATATTGAGGGAAAGTTTTGTTTCTGTTTATAAAAATTATACCATTTCATGGTGAGAAAAACATTCTCTAAAAAATGGAGTCAGGTGACATCTGATGATCCATGTGAGAATTGCAGAGCTTCAAGCCAACTAACTAGCCAGTTGGTCTGTAGGCAGGAGAAATGGAACAGGTGAGGGAGATTCGTGGTTCCATGCATTCAGGGCAACAGAGAAATCAGTGTTCTCTGGGTCCTGGCATCTTCTGGACATAACAGGAAAGCTTTTGAGAAGTTACTGGTTCTATTTATTTCTACTGGTTATCTCTAAAATGAGTCTATGTGTCCTTACAGAACTGAAATCCTTCACAGACTATATGATACATAGAAGGACCTCAACACAGTCCATCCTGGCCCAGCTTTCTCCTTCCTGCCATAGAAATGATGAGAGTGGCTGGAATCAAACAGTATGACTGACACACACACACCTGGAAGTATAGCAATAAGAATTAGCACACATCCATGCTTGCATTGAGATGAAAGCTTTGGAGCCATTATTGTGATGCAGGGTGATATTGATGATGGGTTAAGGAGGAAAGATCATTGGATGGTTTCTTTATTCCACATTAACTTCTGTCTCTCTGATATATAGTTGAGTATCAGAACATTGATATTGATATTGATGGTACTGATATTCAGTATCAGATTCCCACTGGCTGATATTTGAGGAACAAACTCACACATGAGAGAGAGAAAGAGAAAGAGGAATCATGGCCCCTGGCCTTTATAGCCATTTCATTGTAGCCTAGAGATTCCTGCACTGGGATGCCCTCTGCTCCATTAGCTTCTCCATAGATACAGGGTTGCTGGCTGAGCAGGCACAAGCATCCAACAGCATGAGCATGGCAGTTTTCATTGACATAGGAGTCCAAGAAGTACCCTTTGCAGAAGAAGAAGCTCATTCCTCCCCCTTAGTTGACTTTGTGTGATTCCTCATTAGTTTTTGTTCTGACATGTGTAAATTGGGGAAATGGTGCTTTCCTCCTAGAACAGTTAGGAGAGAATAATGTAAAACATATGATTGTTGAGATGTGTGCAGCTGTCAATGAAACCATACATACCATAGATTAGGATCCAGACTCCAACTTTTCTTTCTTCTGGCAAGTGTTTCTGAGATTCCTGTAGTCAGGTCATCTGGGACTATTTTGATATGAGTAGCCATGCTACCATGACTGATCTTGTACATATTTTGGGGATACACATGCTTGGGACTCTGTCCTCCACATTGCCAAGTGAGCATTAGTTGTGTTGTGGAAGTCTCACATTTTGCTTTTTGTCAGTGTTGTCTTGGTTTTCTTCAAAGAAAACCAGCAATGTACAGAGTTTTCTTCTCTTTCATTTTCTTTTTAAATGGGGTGTTTAATTGACATAATTCAGTCATCAGAGTTTCCCTTTAAACCCTGGAAGTACTCCAAGGTATATCTGAGGCATAATGTGAACTAAGACAAATATAAGAAAGCATGATAGGAAAAAACAGAGAATAATCCCACTTTCGAACACCAAAATGTCATATTAACAAGTATTAAAGTTTAGTGAAATATATGATTTGCTTAGATATACAAAAACAGACATCTTGGTTGTGGTTGGAATATGCAATAAAGAAAAGATTCAACAGTGAATATGAACACTGCTGAATTCTCATGCTGCGTGAGGAAGCAGACAGTCGGTCCTACTTGTGCCTGTGGTAGTTTGATGTGCCAACTTGACTAAGTCAAGGAAAGATGGGCTAGGTTTGTCTGATGGGACTCTGAGAATACTTCTAGAAGAGATGAGCATTTCAGCCAGTAAGACTGAATAAAAGACATCTGTAATCATCAGTGCAAACAGACATCATCCAGGCACTGAGGGCACAGACAGACTGACCAAGGCTATCCCCTGTGTAGACTGGTGTAGGATGCGGAACTGCTCCTTTTAGAAACTGTGAAGAACAGACTCTTTTCACAGCAGCATGCTCCTGATCGCTTCCCCTCTCCATTACTGAATAGTAATCTTTTTAAAAAGCCAGAAATAGGATATTATTTATATTCTTAAATACTATTGTTTGCTTTGATTTGTGGAGACAGAGTTTGTCTGTGTAACACTGGCTGTCCGGGAACTCTGCTACATAAACGAGTCTGGCCTGGAATTCAGAGATCTGCCTGCCAAGCCCAGAGTTTAAAGATGTACACCACCACCACCACCTCGTGAATATTATTATCTTAAGAGAGACATTTTTATTTGAAAATTAAAATCATGTACTTTGGTGATAGGGTAGTTTGCTAGCTTGTGCAGTATCAGGATTCAATTTCCAGGACCACATGCATACACACACACATACACACACATACACACACACACACATCAACAGTGCTTATTCATCAATAATAAATTTTTTTAAAAAAATAATTTCAGGGGCTAGTGAGATGGCTCAGCGTTTAGGAGCACTGGCTGCTCTTCCAGAGGGCCCAGGTTCAATTCCCAGCACCCACATGGCAGCTCACAACTGTCTATAATTCCTGTTCCAGGGGATTCACACTCTCACACCAACATACATGCAGGGAAAACACCAATGTACATAAAATACAAATAAATAAATTAAAAATAAATAAATAAAAAATAATTTCAATCTTGAAATATATTTTCCTTATTACTACAGAAATATACATCTTTAGAAGGGGAGGATCCTTTAGTCAAGGGAACCAGATAATATGGTGGTCTATTAGTATTGTATGTATCTATCCACAAGATAGCACACCCAGTCACATTACAGGTGCTGAAGGGAAGGCACATCTTCTTAGACAGCCCTTCTGTTCCCTCTCTACTGTTTATTTTCTTAGGTATCTGTGAAGACAGTGAGATGAACTAATTCCCATCATACTTCCCCTACCCTATCTCCAATGAAGTCCTTTGAATTGGCAGCACGCTCCCATTTACCTACCTAATTAGCCCAGCAGTGACTGCACAGGAGAGAGAATGTAAGGGACTCCATAGGATCACACTCAGACCCCTATTTCCCAGAGCAGAAACTGTAACACAGAGGCACTGGGTTTCAAATCTGAGTAATAGTCTAATTTGTTCCAAAGCCCAAGGGACAGTCACCATGAGGGTTAAAACCCCTTCACCAGACTGACTTTATGTAACTAAATATGGTAGGAGAAGGCAAGGTGCATGCAAGCCTAGCTTGTGCAATGCAAACATGAGACCATGTTCTAAACAGACACTATCCCTAAAGCAGCCACGGGGGCCTGAATGTCAGCCAGAACATGGAAAATCCAAACTCTGGTAACCCCACTTGTTGTTGTGTACGTTTACTTTTCTTTTCTTGACCGTGATTGTCCACATTAGGTTCTGAATGTACAAGCCAGGTCCAAATAAATGCAACAGAATGAGAGACACAATTGGGCCTGGAGAAATGGAAAGTGTTACCTGAGACTATCCGGAGAAACTGTTTAGGTTAATTGGCTTCAGAGAATCTCACAGGTATACCTGGAGATTTCTCCAGTCTGATCAGGCCCCCACAGTTCAGCAGCCCACTTTTAAAAAAATCACTCAGTTTATATTAGTTCATATTAGTTAAAATTGCTCAGCCATTAGCTCAGGCTAACTATTGACTAGCTCTTACATCTTAAATGAACCCATTTCTATAAATCTATACCTTGCCATGTGGCTCGTGGTTTACCGGTACATCTTGTTTCTCCTGGTAGCATCTGGCAGTGTCTCCCTGACTCAGCCTTCTACTTCCCCAAATTCTCCTCTCTCTTTGTCCCGCCTATACTTCCTGCCTGGCTACTGGCCAATCAGCACTTTATTTATTAACCAATCTGAGCAACACATTCACAGCATATACAGCACTTCCCCTTTTCTTTTTTCTTTTTCAAAAAGGAAGGTTTTAACTTTTACATAGTAAAATTACATATAACAAAACAATTATCAAGCAAGAATTACAGTTACAATATCTAGTCTATAATATCTTGTCTATTTGTATTTGTCAAAATTAAAGAAGATATCCTATCTATCCTGTATTTGTGAGTCTAAGGTTTTATATCTAACTTATCTTTTATCATAGGTAAGGAAATTAAAACTATCTTGTCTTCAGCTACACCAACGACCTCAGAAGAATATAATATTACCTGAGAAATGGGAGAAGGATGCAAGCAACTTTTGGGAGTCTTGCAGGGTAAACAGAGACAGCTGACAGCCAGGACAGCCATCCAAAGTTCCTCTGTAAAGTTGGGGCATCTGTCTTCAGCCCATAGTCCTGGAGTCTCTCAGTCATTTCTCTCTGTGTCCTGTAGAATGTCTGGCTGTTTCCTCTGCAAAGCAGGAACCTAAAGGATCATTTTGCCAAGCAAAGCTCAGTGGTCACCTTCCCATAAGTCCTGCATGTCCAGTCGATCAAGCAGTCCAGGCAAGAACAGTTTCTTGACCAAATGGCTATTTTTGCCAAGAAGAAGATAAACTCCATATATAGTGTCTTTGATGCTCATCCTCCTCTCTGAAGTAAATCGGTGCTGCCAGGAGCAGACATGTCTCACTATCCAGAAAGTCTAAATTGTTAAAACATTTTAAATGCCATATTCTGTAGGTCTTTGAAGTGTTTGAAGATTACCTACCTAATTGAATTATATCTATGTATACCTAGAAAACTTAACATGACTATAAATTTGACTATCATAGAAAACTAATTGTTAATCTGTATTTCTTAATTATCCACTACGATTTTTTTTTTTTTTTTTTTTTTTGCGTTTTTCGAGACAGGGTTTCTCTGTGTAGCTTTGCGCCTTTCCTGGAACTCACTTTGGAGACCAGGCTGGCCTCGAACTCACAGAGATCCACCTGCCTCTGCCTCCCGAGTGCTGGGATTAAAGGCGTGCGCCACCACTGCCCGGCCTCCACTACGATTTCAAATGGGCTGCACAAACATAATACCTTAAACAAGAGTAGAAATATACATACAGCACAACAAAATTAACTTTAAATTTGTATCATGGGCTGGAGAGATAGCTCAGCCTTTAAAGGCTAGGCTCACAACCAAAAATAAATTTGTATCAGTAAACTAAAATCCATAGCAATGTAAAACATTTCTAAACAAGTTGCTGTTCTCTAAAATTAGGTTCATTAATCTACCCTTTCATCCTATACATCTATACTATCCCCTTTTCTTTTTATAATGATATTGCATTTATAATCAACCTGTTTTAAATAAAAATATTGGTTTTTCTCTGTCCCACACCAGAGGGCTCTTCTGATATGGGACAGAAAAATTTCTCAACGATTTTTTTTAGCAATATGCTTGGGTTTAGAGAAGGACTGAGCCAATTCCATCTTCAAAGCTAACTTGGTATATTTGGGAATTTTGGCATAGCTTCTCATACTCATACTACTTCCTGCTAGATGAGGGCACTGCATTCTTATGGGAACATAAAGAAAATTTTTGGATTATGGAGTAGTCTGTGAGTCTGTATTGTCTGGGCCAATTGCCTTGAAACGGTTCTGGATGTTGGATCATCTGGGACATGGTGTCATCGGAGACCTTTCTGGTGGTCTTGGCTGGTCAAACCTCTTGTATCTTAATCTGGAACAAATCCATAACCTCTTGCTTTCTGTGGAAACAAAAGCAGAGCCTCCTTTCCAAAGCAACATATCCTTAGATCCGAATTTTGAAGTCAAGGTACCTTTAAAATATACATATTTGTTTACCTGAGCAGGCTTTATAATCAAATGTTTTTATGCAGTTAAAAATATCAAAGACAACACAATCCAGATACTCTGTGTAATATCTATCTATACGTGGATATTTTTTATATTACTTTTACTTTTTCTTTAAAGACTTTATTTTTTAAAACTATGTATTTCTTTATATAACTCTCTATATTTGTTTTTCTCTCTCTTTTAAGCCTATGTACATTTTTACACACATTGTAAACTATTTCATCTGAATCTGTCTTATTGTGAATCTATTGCTTTAAACTGCAGCATTTCTGCCCACCTCAGCTTCCCAACATGGCAGAACTACCTTTACTGCCAGCTCTAGGTTAGGAGCCATGTGTACCATCACCTCTCAGAAGAAGTGGGTCTATGCTTCTACCAAAGCAGTGTGTAGCCCAGAAACCTCTTTTTTTGTACTAGCAAAGGCTAAATCCACCACACAGCATAGTGCACAGCTTGGATACACCTCTGTGTAACATGAAGTAGCTCAAGCCCACATGTTGTGGCTCCATTTAGAATTGCTTATTAACAAACATGGTTTGTACTCACTCATAGTGGATACTAGATATAAAGCAAAGAACAATCAGACTGCAACCCACAAACAAGGGAGGCTACATAGCAGGGAGGACCTGAGGATGACTGTGGCTTATAATAAGTTTTGGTTTTACTCAATCACTGGGCAAGCCTCAGTGAAACGTTTCACTATTAGGATAAGAATTTGTATCAAGCTGATAATAAAAAATAAATAAATAATAATTAAAAAATACAATTGCTTATTAAATATTCTCAGGTGGAAACTCGAGCCCTTGGGCACCATTTGGAGATGGAGATTTCTCCAGTCCCACTCAGGCCCCCACAGTTCCGCAGCCTGCTTATAAAATAATCACTCAGAAGCTCATAATAGTTAAAATTTCTTCGCCATTAGCTGAGGCTGACTCTTGACTAGCTCTTACATCTTAAATTAACCTATTTCTATAAATCTATACCTTGCCACATGGCTCGTGGCTTACTCCTGGTGGCGGCTGGCAGCGTCTTCGGACTCAGCCTTCCACTTCCCTGATTTCCCCTCTCTATTTGTCCCGCCTATACTTCCTGCCTGGCTACTGATCAATCAGCACTTTATTTATTAACCAATCAGAGCAAAACATTCACAGCATACACAGCACACAGGCGTGTCCAAACTAAGCCAAAAGGATAGCGTTGAATGTGGCCCAACACAAAATTGTAAACTTTCATAAACCATTAGGGGACAATTTTTACATTTTTGTAACAAAGTATGAATTTTGTAGAGGACAAGGCTGTGTTTCAATGAGGAAAATTTAGACACCTCAAGAGGGAAAAGGTTAGTTTAATCTTTCTAGTGTAAATTCATAAATCACAATCTTCCATTGTACCGAAAGAATATATACAATTATGATTTAGCAATTAAATAAAAACCAGTGAATAAGTAAAGTGGTTAGAAGGTGGATTCTGCTAGTGTTCCATGCACTAGCATGGGAAAGTCTGAAAGATGCTCTTTTCTTATGTCAGGGCTTATCTTAGTTAGGGTTTCTATTGTTGTGATGAAACACCATGAACAAAAAGTAAGTTGTGATGAAACGGTTTATGTAAAGGCTTACACTTCCACATCATAGTCCATCATTGAAGGAAGTCAGCATAGGAACTCAAACAGGGCAGGAACCTGGATGCAGGAGATGATGCAGGGGCCATGGAGGGGTGCTGTATACTGGCTTGCTCCTCATGGCTTGTTCAGTTTGCTTTCTTGTAGAACCCAGGACCACCAGCCCAGGGATGGGACCACCCACAATAGGCTGGGCCCTCTTTCTTCCATAACTAATCCTAATTAAAATGCCTTACAGCTGGACCTTATGGAGGCATTTTCTCAATTGGGGTTCCTTCCTTTCAGATAACTCTAGTTTTTGTGTCAAGTTGATATAAAGCTAGCCAGCATAGAGCTGATGTTAGCACAGGCTAAGTAATTCCTAATGGTCCTATAATCATGGACAGGCCTGAAATTGGGGACTTGGGCCTCCTGATCTCAGTGTTTCATGCATGCAACAGACACTTACATGCTGTTATTCTGTCATCAAAACACAGAGCAAAGAATATAGTGAGAAAGGACATGAAAAAATATACTGCAGTGAGGGGAGGATTTGCCTTATCCTCCACACCAGGTACTGTGTACCACACAAAGATAGCAAAGCTTTCTATCATTAAATATGAAAGCATATCCTACCTAATCATAACTAATTAATATGCTGGATGTGTTTGGACATTGTCCTGTCTTGTGTTATGATTAACAACGATAAGGCTAATACATATATTTGGTATAGTATTATGTGTCAGACATTGCCCATTTTCTCCTCACAGCAGTCCATGTGTTATCAATGCAGCCATTTAACAAATGACTTTGATCAAGTTAGTAAAGAATTACACAATAAAAGAGAGTCCAATATGTCTAGGGAGAGGCAGGAATCAGGATCTATATGTGTGAATATATATGATATATGAAATGTATTCATTACATGTATTATTTTGAAAATTGAAATCAATTTTTAAATTTTGTTTTTGAGGCAGGGTCTTGCTAGGTAGCCCTCTAGTTGCCCTGGAACTCACTATGAAGATCAGGCTGGCCTTGAACTTGCAACAATTCTCATGCTGCTGTCTCCCAAGTACTGGGGTTGTGGGTGTGTGACATCACACCTAGCTTGAAGTCATATTTGTAAGCAGTTGCCAACTTAATTCATTATGGTAATCAAACATATAAATTTGAGATTTAACAATTACTTTTGACAGGATTTTGACAATTTAATGTATGTTCAATTTCATGTGAACTACGCATTTTTACCACAAGATATTTCTGTACTAGTAACTAGTACTTTTCCTAGTCAAGATATTAAATAAGCCTATTAAAAAGTTAATGTTGAGGGCAGAGAGCTGGGAAGCCTGTAAAGGCACTTACCTCCAAGCCTGATGGCCCTAGTTTGATTCCTAGAACCCACATGGTGGAGGGAGAGAACCGACCCCTACCAGTTCTCCTCTGACCTCCACACATGTGCTTTGGGATATGCACACTCTGCCCACAATAAACAAACAAAAAATAAATGTAATAACTTTTTTAAAAAGTGAATGTCTGGCTGACAATCAAAGTTAGTGGTAGAGAGAGCACTTATCAGGCATTTGGAAAGTCTTGGGTCTGATTTCTACCATGACACAAAAGAAGTTAATTTAAAAAAAACACCCTATAAAGAGGAATAATGCACTGTATACTACTTAAACAGAAACAGCAAATAGAGTAGATTTCCTGTACCTGGGGGAATATCTCAGTGTCTGAGCATTGGTTTAGCATGTACTAGACCCCAGTTCGATTCCCAGAACCAAAATTAAGTACAATGAAATACACAGCCTAGTAAAACACCTTCTGCAATTTTCTATATGAATGATGAGTTTATAAACACTAGGACAGAACTGAGGCCAAATAACCACATATGTTGATCACATTAAAATGGAAATGCGGGC